AACAAATGTGGGAAGTCCTTTAGGCTCATTTCAATACTTAGAGTTCATCAGAACACTCACAGTGATGAGAAACCCTATGAATGTAAGGAATGTGGGAAGGCCTTTCGTCATGCCAGAAGCCTCATATATCATGACCAAATTCACACTGGTCAGTAGTCCTGTGAACGTAACAAGTGTGGGGAGACCTTTAGTCATGCCTCATGTCTTGTTATTCATGAGAGGATTCACAGCCATGATAAACCCTAAGAATCTGGGAGGGCATTTCTTTGTGTCTTGTTATTTTGTTGGACATGAGAAAATTCATGCTGGTAGAAATCCTTATGTGTGTCAAGAGTGTGGGAAAGATTTTAATGGCCATGACCTTAGTATACATTATAGAGTTCATGCTTGCGAGAAACCCTTTGAATGTAAGAAATGCACAAGGTCCCTTAGGCTAGTTCCATCCTTGAAATACATCAGAAAGTTCATACTGGATGGAGACTTTGTGGCATATATACATGATAAAGTACAGTGTGTCAATAGATTTATACCACTGAGAATGAATTTGAATGAAGACAATGTGGGAAAGATTTTAAATATGGTTCAGTTCTTATTAGGCATGAATTTGTACTGGTGTGAACTTTCAAAATGTAAATAAACTGTCCAGGTTTTTAGGTATGGTCCAAGTTTTTCTCAGATTCATAGAATTTATAATGTATTTTTATAATAACATAAGGAAACCTTTTTCCGGTATTCCTCCCTTTTTGGATTATGCATATATTCATAGTAGAGAAAAATTAAGGGAATGTAGGGAACCGTTGTTCTTTATTTGTAAACATCTGCAAAAGTCATTTATTGTTAAACTTAGGAAAAACCATTATGCAGAAAACTTCTAATGGATGTGGGAAAGGCTTTAGCCATTCTACATATCTTAATCATCATGGTCAGTGTTCTAGTCCTTATAGCTGGGATGACGTTGGGGAAGATATTTGTCCCCTCGGGGCATCATGTGTAAATGGCGGTAATACAGTATACTGCTGTTAGAATTACATGAGTTAGTACATGAAGAAAACATGGAAAACTATCTGAAATACACTATTATGTTCAATAAACATTAACTTCTATTTTTAATAATATGACTTTTGTTATTTTTAGTGGATTTTGATGAGTTGAAGATTTTGGCTTAACGAATTCAAAAAAGTTTCATGTACCTACTTTTTTCATTTTGGGTTTGAATTCATTCATCCATGATAAACTCAATAATAAGTAAAACCCATGAGATGGCCTTCTTTAAGGTCTGTTACGGTGAATCAAGCATTCCTGGAATGAAACTCAGATCTATAAGTTTAGAAAATATCAAAATTGTGAAAATAATTTATATTCCTTTTATGTAGTTCGAAATTAGTTAGAAATTAACAAAAGTTTATCTACTTTGTAATTTTTGCAATTTTTCATTACAAAAAATTTTAAAGAAATTGAAAACTTAATAGGAACTGTGCAGCAAATATATGGTAATATTATATGTTGTCACGTTATATCTTACATACTTTGGCGTATAATTTGGCAGTTTTATGAATATTATCATGTTCTCACCCTACATATATTAATGCATTCTTCCCCCCAAAAAGACAATTTCCTATTTATTCATAGTATCTCATAATCACTTATCAGAAAATTAATAATTTCCTATTATATCTAATCCATATTCAAATTTTTTCAGTTTCTCCAGGAATGTCTTATAGTAATATAACTTCTTATTTTCAAAGTGATATCCAGTCTGTTTAATCATTTGGTTGGCAAACTCTTGCTCACAGCCAAATAATGCAACTTATCACTTTAAAAGAATTTTATTATAATATTGCTATATTCATTTGTCTACTTTTTGCCTACGGCTTCTTTCTTGCTGTTATAACAGAGTTGAGTATTTAGTACAGAGATTCTGTGGCACACAAAAGCTGCAATATTGACTAGATTGATCCTTTCAGAGTTTGTCAGCTTGTTTACAACAACATGTCTTTTGATCATGACTTGGGCTGTCTTTTTTCTCTTAATTATTTATTTGAAGTACTAATAACATAAAATTTAGTATCTTAATCATTTTAAAGTTCTGTTCAAAGATATTAAGTACATTTGTATTGTGTAACCGGCACCACCATTTGTTTCCAGAACTCTTCACCTTGCAAATCTGAAACAATAACTGTGTTCCCCCCAGCTCCTGACAACCACCATTCTTCTGTCTCTATGATTTTAACTACTCTAAATACTTCATATAAGTAGAATAATACAAAATTTCTGATTTTATAATTGGCTAATTAGCATAATGTTCTCAACATCAGTGATGTAGCATATGTTAGAATTTCCTTCCTTTTAAGGCTGAACAGTATTGCTTTGTATACCTCATTTTGCTTACGTATTCATCAAGCAATGGACACTTGGTATGCTTCCACTTTAGCTGTTGTGACTATTGCTGCTATGAACACGGACGTACAGGTATCTCTTTGAGACTGTGCTTTCTGTTCTTTATTTTCCCTGAAGTGGAATTTCTGGATCAAATGGCAATTCTATTTTTAATTTTATGGGGAATTGCCATACTGTTCTCCACAGTGGCTGTACCTTTTCCTATTCCCTCCAACAGTGCATCAGGGTTCCAGTTTCTCCACATTCTCAGCAAATCTGTTTTTGATTGTAGCCACTCTGATGGATGTAAAGTGGTATCTCATTGTGGATTTGATTTGCATTTCTCTAATTATTAATGTTGAATATCTTTTCACGTGCTTATTGGCCATTTGTGTGTGTTTGGAGGAATGTCTATTGAAGTCCTTTGCCCATTTTTGAATTATGTTTGTTTTTGTTTTTTGGTAAATTTGAGAGGTTATCTATTTATCCTGGTTTTTAATACCTTTTCAGATACATGATTACAAATACTTTCTCCCATTTTGTGAGTTGCCTTTTTAACCTACTGATAGCATCTTTTGATGCTCACAGTTTTTAAAGACTTTTCATGAATTCCAGTTTGTCCATGTTTTCTCATACTACCTGTGCCTTTAGTGTCATACCCTGGAAATCATTGCCAAATCCAATGTTGTGAAGGTTCTGCTCTCACAATTAGTTCATAGATCCATTTTCTGTATGACATTAATTAAGGATTTAACTTCACTCTTTTTCATGTAGATAGTTTTCATGGCACCATTTATTGAAAAGACTGACTTTTTGCCATTTAATGATCTTGGCACCCTTGCTAATAAGCATTTGGCCATTTATGTACAGGTTTAATACTATACTTTTTGATTACTCTAATTTTCAAGTAAGTTGTGAAATTAGGAACTGTGAGTCCTCCAGCTTGTTTTAGTTTTTCAGGATTATTTTGGCTATTTGGAGTCTCATGACCTATTAGGATAGGTTTTTCTATTTCTACAACAAATATCATTGGAATTTTGATAGGGATTGCATTAAATCTATAGATTGTTTTAGGTTTTATTGACATGTTAACAATATTGAGTGTTCCAAGCCATGAAGATGGTTATGTCTTTACTTATGTCTAATTTTCTTTCAGAAATGATTTGTAGTTTTATTGTACAAGTCTTTGAACTGTTACATTAATTTTGAAGCATTTCATTATTTTTGAATGTATTCTAAATGGAATTATTTTCTCATTTTCTCTGTTATTCAGTGTTAGCGTATAGAAATGCAACTGATTTTGCGTGTTGACAGTGCTGCTACTTTTCTGAATTTGTTCATTAGTTGTACTAGTTTTGTTTTATTTGTGGAATCTTTAGAGTTTTCTTCCCTTTGGATATATCATTGCAAGCAGAAAATTTTACTTCATTTCCAATTTGCGTGCCGTTTTTTTTCTTATCAAATTTCTCTGGCTAGTACGTTGCATGGAATTGGTGGAAGCAGGCATTTTTCCTTTTTTCCTGATCTTAGAGGAAATCCTTCCAGTCTTTCATCATTGAGTATGCTGTTGACTATGCGTTTTTCGTATAAAACTTTTAGTATGTTGAGCTACTTTCCTTCTTTTCCTAGTTTTTTGAGTGATTTTAAAATCATGAATGTTTTTTAAATTTAGTCAAATGGGGTTTTGTATCAGTTGAGATGATCATATTGTTCATTCTGTTAATGTGCTATATTGTCAGATTTTCAAATGTTTAACCATTGTTTCATTGTAGGAATCAGTTCTACTTGGTCATGGTGTATAATCCTCACAATATGCTGCTGCATAGGGAAAAAATAGTTTTTCCTTCTGTACTGACACCATTCTCAGTACTTCACTTCTGACACCAATTGTGTGTAGATTGTTCCCACTGCAAGCAATTGTCCGGTTCTCATTGGACAACAACTGTTATAATCCAATTCAGTTCTAACACTAGCCAGAGTTGGGGTCAGATCCCATAGGCTAAGGGTTCAGTCCCACAAGACTACTTCCACTTCAGATACCAATCACAAGTGCAGGTATCAGGTGTGCTTCCTACTGACTGGTTATAAATTGGAGGTTTTTTTGACCCTCTCCTTCGGTTGCATCATTTGCTAGAATGGCTCACAGAACTCAGGAAAACTTGAAAACTTATGTTTACTGGTTTATTATGTAATAAAGGATATGATAAAGGAAACAGATGGATGATGTTAAGTAGATGGTTAAAAGAATAATATTCTCAACCAAGAATACTATACCCTGAAAAACTGTCCTTCAGAAATGGAGAAATTAAGACATTCTAAGAAAAACAAAAGTGGAGGGAGTTCATTAGCATGGGTCTGGCCTTATAAGAAAAGCTAAATGTATTTAGAACAACTGTAGTTATAAATAAGTTGTTAACAGATATGTGATTTAAATAGATGTAAAATATGACATCAATAGCATAAAATGGAGAGGGATAGGTATAACTGTGCAATATGTATATGTGATTGAAGTTAAGGTACTACCAGCTTAATTTGGAATAGTATAATTATTAGATGTTTTATGTAAGCCTCATTGTAGCCACAAAGAAAAAAAAAACCTCTAGTAGATATACAAAAAATAAAGAGAATGGAATCCTAGCATACCACTACAAAAATACAACAAATCACAAAGAAAGAGAGCTGGACAGGCGCGGTGGCTCACGCCAGTAATACTAGCTCTCTGGGAGGCCGAGGCGGGCGGATTGTTTGAGCTCAGGAGTTCAAAACCAGCCTGAGCAAGAGCGAGACTCCGTCTCTACTAAAAATAGAAAGAAATTAATTGGACAACTAAAAATATATAGAGAAATTAGCCGGGCATGGTGGTGCATACCTGTAGTCCCAGCTACTTGGGAGGCTGAGGCAGGAGGATCACTTGAGCCCAGGAGTTTGAGGTTGCTGTGAGCTAGGCTGACGCCACGGCACTCTAGCCCAGGCAACACAGTGAGACTCTTGTCTCAAAAAAAAAAAAAAGAAAGAGAGCCAACTTGAAAGAAAGGAAAAAAAGTACGAAACAGTAAAAAATTAAGAAAATGCTAGTAGTAAGTTCCTATCTATCAATAATTACTTTAAATGTAAATGGATTAAAT